CTTTTCTCCCAGCTCCTCCTACATTTCTCATTCTATTTTTTATTTTTTTCCTCCTTTTTTTTTAATTTTTTCCCTCCTCCAGCCACGGGCGAGGCCCCGCCCCCGCCTCACGTGACCTCATTCCTTTAGGGTGTTCGCGCAGAGGTGCGGAGGAGGGAGGGGAGAACGGGGCGCAGATTGGAGGGACCCCCCCGCCCCGCCCCCCTTGTCCTCGCCGGCGTGGGGGGTCCGGCCGGGACTCCCGGCCCGTTTCCCCCTTCCCACGATCTGTTCAGGGACAAAACGCGATCTAGCCCCAAAACCACAAGAATTAGCACCAAATCTGCGTTGTGGGAGCCCGCGCTCCTCGCTAATRGTGGCCTAGGTGGAGCTGGGGGTCTCCGTGTCCCCCTCTCCCCTCACCATGTCCCCCTCCCCGTCGGCTGCTCCTGAGCATCCCGGGACGTTTTCCAGCCCTAGCAGGGAGCAGCCCGTGTCCGTCGGGTCCCGGACATCCCCGGCCCTGGCATCGTCAGCGGGACCCTGGGCAGCGGCCCGGGACCCTGGCAGGGGCCGCCGCCCCCCGCTCGGTGCTGCAGGGGAGGCCCGGGAATCCGCGCCGGGACGAGGACGTAAAAGGAAGGGGAAGAATTGAAATAAATTTAAAAAAAAAAAAAAGGAAAAGAGAAGAAAGAAGAGACGAGTCGGGCTCGCGCGGCCGCTGCGTGGGCGGGCCGTCCCACGGGCCCGGGGCCGCCCGAGCTCCCGCTCGAGAGCGCCGGCCGCGGCGCTGGCTGCAGCGCGGTCTCTGTGGCGCAATCGGTTAGCGCGTTCGGCTGTTAACCGAAAGGTTGGTGGTTCGAGCCCACCCAGGGACGCGAGCGCATCTTTTCTTTCCATTCATACATATCTATATTTTTTTCATTTAATTATTCCAAAGGCGCGAGCAAAGGCAGACAAAGAGAGGCGGGAGCTGGAAGTGGAGGTGACTGCGCTAGCCCACACAGGCCGGCGTCTCATTTCTCAAAGGGTCTTTGGCTTCATCAAACCCTCCACACATCCAGATGTGCACACGAATCCAGCTGTGCCCCCCCCACCTGGGGAATCCCAACACGCATCCAGCCATGGAACCCCCATCCAGCTGTGCAACCCCCTAACTGCAGCATCCGTCATCCAGCTGTGCAACCCCCCAACTGCAGCATCCATCGCACACAGCCAGCTGTGCAGCACCTCCCCCAGCTGTGCAAAGCCCCCATCGAGCTGTGCATTGCCCTCCCAGCTGTGTTGCACCCCACCACCTCTGCACGCCACCCCTAGGTGTGCAATACTCCCCCAGGTGTGCAATACTCCCCTGGATGTGCTAAGGTCTCCCGGCTTTGCATTGCCCTCCAGCTGTGCATTGTCCCCTCCAGCTGTGCATTGTCCCCTCCATCCTCCCATTAACCCCCAGCTTTGCATTGTCCCCTCCAGCTGTGCATTGTCCCCTCCATCCTCCCATTAACCCCCAGCTGTGCATTGTCCCCTCCAGCTGTGCATTGTCCCCTCCATCCTCCCATTAACCCCCAGCTGTGCATTGCCCCCTCCAGCTGTGCATTGTCCCCTCCAGCTGTGCGTTGCCCCCACGCTCTGCATGGCCCCCTCCAGCTGTGCATTGCCCCTCCAGCTGTGCATTGCCCCTCCAGCTGTGCATTAACCCCCCAGATGTTCATTGTTCCCC